AATACCTAAGATCCAAACTCAGACAAAATGGCAAGCTTACTTTTCCACTATTAAAACACTGCTGTTTTTAAATAAAATATTATACAATTGAATGACTCGACAGCTAACTTTTCAGATATGTGCAAAATTTTGAAGTCAATTATACTTCAAACAGTAAAAGGTAAGTGTATTCAACAAGGAAAATTAAACATCAAAATCTTAAACATCAAAATTCTCTTTCAAACTAGAATCACATTTTAGAAATATTAAACCTTATGCAAAATCTCTATTGAATATAAACCATTCAAAATAATATTTGATGTGGTTAAAAACACAGCTCATATGACTAAAAAAAAGAGAGATTTATTCCCATGTAGGCATGTAAAAACACAGATGAATTTGTATATGCATTTCAGAATTTATAAAGGGTCTTCCACCTGCATTAGCTCACATTTTTTCACAATTACCCTACCAACCAAATACCTCCCCCCCACCAATGAGAAAGCTAAAAGAAAAATACTGAGTGAAGATCACAAATCTAACAAAAAAAAAAAAAGAAACAGGCTTTGATTTGGATAGCCGATAACCAGAAACATTCACCCCACGTACATACAAATTTTAACAAAAAAATCACCAATCTTTTCCCATTTTAGTGCCTTAGTTTCTTCCATTTGTAAAAGGTACCCACCTCCTTTAACAAAGTAAATGTGAAATTACTGAGAAGTTGTACACATAGTAGTCAGGGGACCTGTTGCTAAGTTATCTTAGAAGCTGATGACTTCAAAAGCAAGTTCAGAATTCTTTCCTTAAAAGTAAATCTTAGGCAGGTGGATAAACAGCTACAACAGACAAACGCATAATCGTGCAAATTGGCGGGAGGGGGACCAAAGACATCTAAGGTTCAGAACTACAGTTTGAAAATCACTAATTTCATCCAAATCCCTCATTTTTCAGGTGAGGAAACTGAAGTCCAGAGGGGTTTCTTGAACTGCCCAAAGACACATCACTATTTAGTGATAAGCTGGGACTAAAACGGAGGTCCCCTGACTCCTGGTCCAGAGTTCTTTCTACTATCCCACAAGTAACATACAAATAAAATTTGACTGTAATTAACTCACAAGACCTCCACAATGCATTGGTCACAGTGAATTCTGTCATGAAGTACCTGCCTATGCCAACTCAGGCAGCAAAGAGCTGAGCTGTGTTGTTCAAATACAGGCTCAAACACTTACCACACGACCTTGGGCACGTCACATCCCTGCCTCAGTTTCCTCATCTTTAAAGTAGAAATTAAAAATACTCTTCTCATAGGTTACATAAAATAATGTTTATAAAGCACTTAGGACTGTGCCTGGTACATGAAAACTCTCAGTTCATGATGATGATGATGATGATGATAACAGTAATGATGAAGCAGAAGAATCATCATCCAAGCAAAGTACAGCATCTTGAAAATATAGCACAAAGTATTATCATTAAATATGTATATTCTCAAAGAAAGAATAGTATATTAGCAGTAGTCTTTTTTTTTATGAGGAAGGGAAGCGAGAAAGTGGGTGGGAGGGAGTGACAGAGAGAGAGAAACGTCGTCTATGGATTGCTTCCCATACATGCCCAAGGAAGGACTAAATCACTGCAACCTAGGTATGCGCTCCGACTGGGAATCAAACCCAAGACCCTTCAGTCTACAGGACAACAACACTATAACCAACTGAACTACACCAGCCGGGGCAGAAGCAGTCTTTTAAAGATTCAAAAACACGTATGAAAAAGTGAAATATACAGAATTCAGTCATAAAACCTCTATAGCATTTTTTATTTATTTATTTATTTATTTATTTATTTTAAAGATTTTATTCATTTATCTTTAGAGGGAAAGGGAAAGAGAGAGGGAGAGAAATATCAATGTATGGTTGCTCTCGTGCATCCCCTGCTGGGAACCAGCCTGCAACCCAGGCATGTGCCCTGACTGGGAATGGAACCGCGATCCTTTGGTTCCCAGGCCCGCATTCAATCCACTGAACTACACTGGCCAGGGCTTTTTGCACCTCTTTAAGTAAACTATAAGCCAAATCTTTAACATTCTAATATATATTAGAAAGATTTCTGACTGATTTCACTACCCAACCTCACCATAAAATAAAACAGGCATTTATTTTCAACAAGAATACTCAATCTTCTGATGTGATTGAATGGCCTCTTTGCAATCTCCCATACCAAAAACTATTTTTTTTAGAGAAAACTAAAAGTCAAGCTGCCCAAGATTTGTATCCAATTATAAGGGGAAAAAAAACAAAATTTTTAAATTACCAGTGGCTTAAAGAACAAGTCACTTGCTGGTCTTATTCCAGATCTCTCTTCTATTACTTAAGCTCAAAGGCAATAACTTTGTCACTACTTAAAAGTACAGTTCCAGGATTGCAATATGATTAATCCTCCTAAAATTCCATATTACAAATTTCAAAAACCTTAAAATAGGGTGACCATATTATTATGTGGTTCCAACAAGGGCATTTTTGACAGTGAACAAGGCTCTATTAATAATTATACTGAGACAAACAGACTCTAATATATGAGTGTCCCAGAAAAAAGTGGGGGCGATCATTTTGATTTGTATGTAATGGCTTATTCTCTGCATATGCTTAATTCATGAGCTTTAAATTCTGTTTCAGATCTAGTGATTTTCTTCAACCTTGAAACCAAAGTCATCATTTTACAGACATCAAGCCAGAGTTAAGGATACTATCTATAAAGTTGTTTTTTAAGCTTAACTTTCAAACTTAACTTTATAAACATTTGCTTGAAAAAGAAACATCTACATACTTCACAGAAAATAATATTGCAACATATCACCAAATTTCAGACTTACCTCTTCAAAAATTTTGAACGCTAATAACCTGATAACCACAAAACTGCTTCTAAGATGGCCCGATACTCAGAAGTTTAAAAAAAAACACCTTTCAAGTAAGGAAAAAAAAAACTTCAAGAATAAAAGAGTTGAAAAGCTTTCACTGAAAACTAGCCAAAGTGATAAAAGATAGAGGAACCCATGGTCACAACACACTGTATGATGATTAAAGGGAACTGCAGTTGGTATTGTTATGGCTCTGCAAATGAATCTAGCATTAGCTGTACAATCTAGGAAACAAAAGAATGCTCTGCTTTAATTTGTAAAGCTGTAAATAACTACTAACAGACCCATGCTTTGAACTATAGTACTTTAATGAAAGGCATTATTTGAATATAATTATGATCCCCTAAGGCAGCGACTTTCAACCTTTTTCATCTCATGGCACACATAAACTAATTACTAAAATTCTACAGCACACCAAAAAACACATTATTTTCTTTTTGCCACTCTGACAAAAAAAATCGGTATAATTTTGATTCATTCACACCAGACGACTATTGGACTATTGTTATGTTGGCTGTTGTCAGTTTCTTATTTGACAGTCTGAGAAAAAAGAGGTCAGTGCCCCTGACTAAATAGTCAGGTAGTGTATGTTTTCAAAATTCTTGTGGCACACAGGTGTGCCTGCAGAGGCACACGCGTTGAGGATGCACACCAGTTGAAAAATTACTGCCCTAAGGCAATAAATGTTCCAAGAGTTGGCTTTTTTTACTTAAAACTCAACCAAAGCAAGAAGTGGAAGGAGTCTCAAAGTCTAAATTCTTGACCTTATGCTGTGCAACAGGGCAGCCACTGGCCACATGTCACAATTTATATTTTAATATAAAATTAAAAATTAAATTCTTCAGCACACCAGCCACATCTCTAATGCTTAAGAGACACTCATGTCTAGTGGACACCATATTAGGATAGCACAGATTATTACAGAATATCTTCGTGACAAAGTTCTATTGGGCAGTGATGCTCTAGATCTTTACTTGACTATTTCTAGAAGCAAGAAACTTACAATAGCACAATAAAGTGCCTTCTGTTTTTGCAAAGTACTGTCAGGAAACCTTCCTCACATTCAGTCAAATCCATCCTCTGTAACTACCACCAGAAATCCCCAAAGTTCTGTCCACAATTTGATCTGCAAGTAAATCTTCACAGAGCTAACTTAATTCCACCTACAAAGTTCTGCCCCTCATGTATACAATATTTAGAACCTAGGTTCTGTTCATCCACATAAATATTCACCTTCCAACGAAATAGTTTAAAGTTTCTATCAGCCTCATGGAGTTATGCTAATTTACCCACGTGTACATTAGTAGCATTTGTCCAGGATCTGTTCTGAGCATCACTATTACATTTCACTGTCCCTGTAAATCCACTCGCGTTTGTCAGACTGTTTCGATTGATTTTTAATTTAAAAACAAGCTCACAGTCATTCTGAATTTCTTAAAACATGGAGACCGAAATTAATTACAATTATCATGTAGCTGACCAGTACCTGGCGCTGTTCTAAGCACTTAACGTGTGTTATTACCTCACATCATCCTCTCGATTCTAAGCTAAACCACTACCATCCCTATTTTACAGACTAAAACATCCAGCCAAAGACATGCTACATGATTTCCCTAGGAGTCACAGCTGTGGGCTCGCTCCACAGAGAAAAAAGTCGATCTCTTCCTTTCTCTAAATGCTACACTTCTAACTCCGCCTAATTCTTCTTCCACCCTGCCCACAGACCAATTTCCTTTAAGGATTTTTCCAAAACGCACTACCCAAATGACACGCTGAAGGTGTTTCTTACACCTTCCACAGCAGCTCCCGCTTCTGCTCGCCTGACCCACTCCCTCGCCCCATGACCACCCTCCGGTGGGGAGGAGTCAAGAGCCAACTCCACACCCCGCGAGAGAACCAGGGCGCCGCGTTGGGCCAGCGCCTCTCACGACCGTCTTCCCTTCACCCATCCAGTGCAAAAGCCAAAATTACTCCCCCGAGGCCGCCCTGGGGCAGGGGCCAGGGCGGGGCCGGGGCCTTGACTAGCTAGGCTCGCCGCGCGGCATCCCTCCCGGTTCCCATCCCCTCCGCCGTCCGCCCCCGCACCGCCCGCAACACCACCAACAACCTCTGCTTTAAGAACACGTGTAGGCACTGCTGCGCGTCCCGCGTGGAGAATGTGGGGGTAGAGATGGTGCGGTTTCTGCTGCTGCGGCCCGGGACACGCTTGGATAGGGGCGGGGTGGGAGTGGGCTGAGAGTGTAGAGAGAGAAAAAGTGTTTCGGCTGGAGCGGGGTTCGCGGGGGTGGGGGAAAGATGGCGTGAGCCCGACTCTCACTGTGGAGCGTGGGTTACGAAGACCGGGGAAGCAGCGCTACCGACGCCCCCAACACTGGCGTCCCGGGCGCTGGCGCATGCGCGCTCTGCCAGGTGGCTCGCGGTCTCCTTTCCCAAGCAAGCCACTTCCGCCACGCTCGTTGGGGGCGGAGCAGCGTGCAGTGCATTGTCGGGCGCTTTCACCGCAGTTATTGGATGTGGACCGCAGGCCCTGGGACAGGCGATCCTGAACTTGGCTCGGGCATTAGAGCGAGGGCTACTGCGAGAGGAGTGGGGATGAGCTGAGAATCAAAGGGTGTTCAAGGACCGGTCTTGCATTCTTTAACAATGGAGCTGAAGAGGGAATCAGTGACCGACAACTGGTACTTTGTTTCCAAGTTCAGGTCAGAGATTGACCCCTATAAATTTATCTTCAGGAATTAGGGTGAACCTGGAAATGAGCCAGATAGTGCTTTTAGCATGGTGAAGGGAAATGGGGGAGATGAAAAAAGACCCGCTGCCCCAAAGGACCGCAGTGCCTGGAGAGGACTTGCAACCCTTTTTGGGACCGTGGAACACGGGCTCCCACCAACCACCACTGTCCACCCTACCGCCTGTACAGAGTCGTTAGGCGTTGGGAAAGGTGGCCTGCAATGAAGTTTTTCTCTACTCGTTTTACCAAGCTTGGGCATTTAATGACCTACATTTATTATTGAAACTTTTTTCCTCTTTTAAAGTTCTTAATGGGTGATCCCATTTTTCATTATGTTTGACTTGTTCCTCCTTATTTTTAAGTCTTGCACTCCCACTATTGAACTGCACATCCTGTTCTCTCATATTTGATTAATACAGGTGTAGTTCTTTAAATAATACGGTCATAAGACAATGATTTCATTTGCTTCTTTATTTTAAATGAAATCTTAGTATTTATATTAACATTCTTTTCAGCTGCTTAAGGAAGACTGGATTAACCATGCTTATGTCCACTTCTACCATGTCAAATATAGTAACATACTTCACAGACATTCAACTACTAACTTTCGGGTCTTTTTAAGCATTAGTGCTTCAGTTATTTTCTTGCCTATCAATATCTGTGTTTTGAAATAATCTCTTCCTTTCTACTATTTGCTTACAGTGTTTAAAATAGCAACTTGATTTTCTTTGTGATTGTAGTTGTGTGTACAGTGTGATTGTAATTGTGTCATTGTAGTTGACACAATTTTGTTCTGTTTTGTTTAGTTTACATTAAACTCCCCAACAATTCAATATTTGCTAAATACTTAAAGTTCCAAAAGAAGCAATATATTTAGGTTGTAGAAGCTCACCATAATATGTAAATCAGGACTCAATTCAATGCTGGGCAAAGCGTAGAAGATAAGGGGAAGTAAAAGAGAAAATTGTCATAATTTCTTACAAAGGAAGACTGCCTTATACAATAGCTGAAAAGCCCTTTGGAGTACATTACCAAGAAACTAGGAGGAAATTAAGAGAAAAACTATTACATCTAAGGAAATATAACCTGAAGCAGATTGTTTCAAATAAAATTATGTTCAGCCTTGGCTGATGTGGTTCAGTGGATTGAGTGAAGGCCTACGAACCAAAGGGTGACCAGTTCAATTCCCAGTCTAGGGCACAGGCCTGGAGGGCTAGCCAGGTCCCCAGTGGGGAGGTGCAAAAGAGACCACTACGCATTGATGTTTTTCTCCCTTTCTTTCTCCTTCCCTGCTCTCTAAAAAATAAATAAAATATCTTTAAAAATAAAAAACTAAAATTATGTTTAATTAATGTGGCCATAGTCTTTCTCTTATTGCACAGAAGTTGTATCTGCATCACATGGAGGCTAGATTTGACCTAGTCTTTCAGAATATAACCTAGATTTTACTCTTGGGCTTCTGGTGTCTAATCAATATATAATCACACAAAACAGGAGTTAATTAAAGTGAGCAGTGGAGAAAGGAAACAGTTAAACAAGGCTCTAGTTGAGAGAGCTAAAAAATTCATTCTTAGGAAATTGTAAATTGTGCTGTTGGCAGAAATCTTAGCTTTGAATTAGGATAACTCACATGAGTTATCCTAATGTTCCTACTTCCTGGAATCTATTAAAATCCATTTTTTAAATTTTGCTTTAGCCATAATTTTGTTTGTAGATTGAGAACACCTCTGTACACAAAAGATCAAAGTATTATCTATTAGATTAATATCAAATATCTTAAACTATCAATGCTACTAAGATTTTTTAATTATAGCAAATCTAAAACAACCTGTTGCTAAAATTAGTACATTAAGGACTATCACCTCTCAGAAAAATACATGATTTCCAAAGTATGTGGAGAAAACACATCAGGACACCAAGTGAATTGGTAACACCACAAGAATTTTCCATCCCTTGAACATAGGTCTTAATGGCAAATAAAGCACTTTTACTGTGGACTTTTACATTACTCAGGCATCATAGCTTCATATAGATACATTAGTGCAAAGAGAAAGTGAATATACCTAAGGAAAAATCCCTCTTGGCATCTTAAAACAATGGCTAGATTAGGTAATAAAAGAAGCCCTAATTCTCCTAATAGCAGAGACCATGCCTATGTTAATACATAACCATCCAGTGATAAAGTGGTTTCTTCCCATCATATAAACACCATGGGGACAGTTCAAGTGACCTGCAAAGTCTTTATTCTTTTGTGATTCCATGACTCTTGCTTGCAGAGGCGTTTTCTTTCTTATAGATCAATGATTTTATCCTTTTCTAATGCTTATATAGTAACCATGGATAGAACAACACATTGTTTAGAATTGCATGTTGCATCGTTGCTATATTCAGTTAATTTCCTGATATTAACTATTTTTCAATTGCAATCTTAAAAGTAACTTGCTCTAGTTTTAGAACAAGTCAGTCTGACCAAAAAGATTACTGACTTCTCCAGGACCCGCACAAGTCACATAAAATTGCTGGGCTTCAGTTTTCATATCTGTAAAATGAGGTGATTGAGCCAAATAACTGAAACCTTGTAGCCCTAAAAGTCTATGTACCTTTAAAATAAAAATGACCAAAGGATGGGTCTTAAAGTTGTAAAGAATAATTTCAGCATTCATATTTGTGCTACCAAAAATTACATGAACATATACAGGGCTCCTGCTGTAGACTGACTTGGATATTTAACTGATAATATACATTTCAAAGGACCATGTGAAAAACTATATGCTAATCAAATCAGGGTCTGGCACAAATCAAACCCCTCTTTTATTACAAAATATTTTATTACAAAATCATAAGTATGTAATTCCATAACATAACAATAACACACTCAAGCACACTATAAGACATTTTAGGTGAAATGTTCAAATTAAAACTATAAATTATTATAACCATATTATTATCCTACCAACCACACTCATGCAGGTCTTACTTCTGGCAGACCCTGTATATTGATACATGGGGGAGGGCATTATATTCAGGGTTTAATGAAATTAGTTTCCCATACCTTCCAATTAATTAATATATTTCAAAGTAGAGCGAGCAGCACATGATGAGAGAAGAAATGTTATGAATTGTAGTACTGAGCTGCTTGTAGAACTATTATCATGACCCATCCTTTTAGGAACCTCTCATTGTGGGTTTAACATTCCAGGATATTTTAAATTAATGCTTAGCGGCTGAGAAAATGATCGTGTTTTAGAGATTCAGAGTGGGAAGGGAATCATAGAATACCAGGGTTTCAAAGGGCCCCTGAACTCTCTAGACACATGGAAATTTAATTGCTCCCATTTCCATGGAATTCAGTACATACTACCTCTGGTGCTAGAAACAACCTCTATTTCCCCCCTTCCATGAAGATAAAGTCTATTCACTGAGTGTGAGTGATGAGTGTAATTATTTCATTCGTTCAACAAATATTTATTGTGGGTCTACCACATGCCTGACATTATTCTAGGAGTTGCACATATAGCAGAGAACCAAACAAAAATCCACATCATCAATCTCACATACTAGTAGGAGGAGTTGGACAAAACAACAAAATAAATACTTAAATTATATAATGTGGCTAGAAGGCCATGAGTGTTACAGGGAAAAAATTATGCAACAGGGAAGGGATATGGAATGAGATGAAGCATAGGAAGAATGAGAGAATTGTGATTTTAGGTGGCTATAAGAGATCAAGAAATCAGTTTTAGGTATCAGTAAGTAATTAAGGCCTGGCCAGTGTGGCTTGGTTGGTTGGAGCATTCTCCAGTGCCCTGAAGGGCCACAGGTTCCATTCCTGGTCAGGGCACACATCTAGGTTAAGGGTTTGGAACCCAGTTAAGATGCATGTGGGAGGCAACCAATTGATGTTTCTCTCACATGGACGTCTGTCTGTCTGCCTATCTCTCTCATCAATAAATATATTTTTAAAGAATCACTTTATAAAATATAAGTAATTAAGTACAGTGTTTGTATTCTCTGTGATGTTCTTGTCATCATGGGTAGGTTCTTATGGAAATGAAGGAAAATTTGTATTTGTAACCTTTTATAATAATGATTTATTTTCTAATCCTGCCCCCACAGCAGAGGTCCATCTAGATCCATATAACATATGTCAAAGAATATTTTATTTTTGTTTAAAGAAGGCGTGAGGAAAGCTGAACATCCTCTGTCTGAAAATAAATCAATAACTAACTATTTGGTGGAGGAGTCAATCTGTAGATCTCTAAGAAAAAAGTGGACACAAATATATAAAAACATCCAGTTCCCCCAAGTATTTTCATTGAAATATTTGATATAAACCAGGATATATTCAATGAATTATTTGAATAACTGCCTCCACTTTATTGCATATACATTTTTTATTACACATGGAAACAGGGCCAAAAATTAATCAGTGCCATGAGTGAAATAAACCACACTATGGCGAACGTAACCTGTGATTCCTAGTTCACACTCTGAAGCTGGATGCAAAGAGTGCTCGGATCAAATGTTAAATAGTGACCGGGAAACTATACCAACATATTGAACCAAGTTCTTTTTATTTTTAGCTTTTTATACATGCAGCATAAGCTATATTTTCTCTTTCCAGAATATATTTAAAACAACCTTATTCAGTGAGGTATA